CTTGACCTACCTTATACGTGTTTATTTTATTTTGAATGTATTGTTTAAGCAAACACGAACATACAATATGTCACCTGAGTATTTTGTAACGATACTTTAACGCGTTATGTGTCCATGTTTTGCGTAGGACCATTTTATACTTTTTGACTTGATTGGTTAAATCACAACGGCCTCGCAAAAGACATGCGTGATGTAGAGTAATATGTGTATCGTTTGATGAGTGTGGTGACCAAGGTTCTATACAAATTTCCCTTCCTTTCCTTTTTAGAGAGGGATATGGGGACTTGGATATGCCGTGTAAGAGGTTGGTTGGATAGGAAATGGAAATATTCTCTGTTTATTTCAAGAAGCAACGAATATGTTACTCGTTTGTCCCTTTCTGTTATAAAAGTCAAGAGATCTATCTAACCTTATCTCCAGAAACAACTTTTGTTAGCTTCACTAAATAGGTGTGTCATCCCATAGCTGATTAATCTTTTTTATTTTGTGTTTACTCTGACAAGCCCACACTACAATAGGCAGGGCCGTTTGAATGGTACAATGGCCGGTGCAACAGAGCTCCTTCGCCGGATCTGTTGCAAGCCGATATCGGTTCGTGCCAGTCCGAAGATTGCCTCACACATTAGACATTAGCCTTAATTCAACGCTCACTAATTTACTTACAGCAATTAATGTTCTGAAATTGAGATAATCCAAGACTTATATTACCGTGTAAAAATTAAGATAATCTAAAGAAAGATGTAAAGATTTTAGACTTGGTTTAATAACTAGGCACAGTATTTAAAACAAGCTATTAAAAATGGCGGTGAACGATCAAATATTTTAACCTAAATATATTTGTTATAGATAATGATCGAACAATTTAAAAACAAAAGCGTCCAATGAAGTTGCATACACTATAGAAGAAACTCGATCTTCGGGTTTAGGTCTTGTGTTATTGGGCAAGGGTAACATATAAAGGCATTATGTAAAAAATCAAGCAAATATAATACTTGACTTGATGCGAGCTTACTTGAAATTAAATACCGTGCAAGATAACAGTTACCTTGTAAGTAAATAAACGTTTTATTTGTGTAATACAGCGTCCATGTTATTACTATAAAAGCTGCATAATATAACGACTGTCCATGGTCACGCTGGCTACAACGGTCATCGTACTATTACGTAGAAAACGTATTTCACTATTCCCGTCACGGAAGTCAAGTAAATGTCTCTCAAAAGTGTCTTAAATTTAAATAGCCGCTTAGAACATGGGTTATAAAATTGACTATATTTCCTGTTCCCGCATCTTGTCTCTGAATAATAAACTATGAGCCATTAGCCTCTCCGCCGGAACGGAACGGGTAAACTTGAGCTTCTATTACGTGTACTAAACATTAAAGTCTATTGCTTTGAGAGATATAAAAATTTTACAGTTCATTCAAAATTTGAATTACTAAATATGTTAAGGTTATCTGTGAAGCTGTTAATTCTAACGTTTGCTTTATTTTTGTCAGTCCACGCTAGCGTTAATAAAATTAGTTTGTTAAGGGAAGAGAAAAGACAATAATCGTAAAAATGTCTAGGCAATGCTATTTCTCTTTTTTATTTTTTCAATGCTCACTGAGTTAGTTCACATTCTCCGTTAAAAAAATTATTATTTTAGGTACTTTATATTCTTCGACTGCATGGTGAATGGTGAGTTTTAACACATTAAACATAGTGACTGACACATAACAATAATTGTCATCTATGTCCTGCCAAAAAAATTAAGAAAAAATTTACTTATTAGTATGATTATTATTGTTGTCGGTTATCACGACACGCAATAACTTGGCGTATCAAAGTAATGCAAGTTTGGTAGGCTTTAGAGCAAAAAATAATAAATAAAATTGTACTAACCGCAGCGTTCTGGTAATTGCTATCAAGATTATATTTTTTATCTTGAATCCTAAAGACGGTAGAATCAAAGCTGTACCGCGTTTTTTATTTGTTTGAAATTTAAAAAAAAATCTCTTCGCGCAATTATTTTAAGTTACATGTGTAACTCTAATACATTGATAATTAAATCATAATGAGAAAATGTTAATAACTTGTGACAATTAAAAAAGTAATATTTCTGTATATTAAAAAAAGAAAAGAGCAATTATGATAATCATTAAGATGAGAAGATGACATAAAAAAAAACGAAATGAAAATGAACCGTAACGTCAATTTAACATTCAGTACATAACTATATGTGAGTTGACATGCAAAAAAATTATGCTACTTTCTACAGCGACACATCTCTGCTTCGAACAAGCAAGCATAAGTATGTAGTTATTTGTTTTACACTTTGATTATTTTTATTCCTACATACACTAAATGTAATTAAGGATTCTCATTATTTTCAGACCACAAACTACTTAAGTTTTATATTTTAATATTTATATCTTTATGTTGGTAAAGCTGCGTCTAATAACATACATTTTTTTCTGCAATTAACAAAAAGCAGTTGTGTATACAGTATAGTCCGATCTTTATATTGGATTTTCAGTTTGAGTTTTGTCATTTTTTTCGTAAGTTTGGTCAATTTACAATACTTTAAGTAACATATTAATTCAACGTTATAAACGGAATAATATTTCAGACAAAAAATTAAGATCTATTTAAGCATTACATTTAAGAACTGTCATTATTTTCCACAGTGAGAGTTTAAAGTGAACGTTTTCTCAGTAACTTAGTATAACAAATAAGCCATAACTTACCTCTACCAACAAACAAATAAAGTTAATTTAAATCACGTTAACATAACTTAAAACGAAACATAATAAAAAAACTTTTTGAAACAACACTATTTTTTAAAAACCATAGACAATCCCGCGTTAGTTTGACGTTAGATTACGGGAAAGCGGCCCCGTGTATCGCGGCACGCACTCGCCTATCAACTGAATGTTTTCTTACAATTCAAACTTCGAAGCCCACCATCTCAGCCGTAAACATTTCTGCCACCTGCCCGCATTAACGGGATGCGTTTGCGCACAGGGATTGCGCTTTTAATAATCAGATTAACCTTCATTTTAAGCTTTTAATGTTTTTATAGCTGGAAAAGTAAATTATTAAATTTATAAATAGAAAGAATCCTTTGCTAAGCTTGGAAACTGAGGACCGTGTGACGACTTAAATTCATCTTCCAAACGTGTAAAGTTTCTATGAAAACATATTTTTCTTGCAGCAGGATTTTTTGACAACTATGAAAACTTTTGTATTCCTACAAATAATTAAATGCCTTTTTCTCTTAAGTCTTAAAAGAAGAAAATTGATATTTGTGTGTTATAGTTTTCCTTTATCGGAATAACCGATATTTTAAAATTTACAAAAACACTTTTTAAAAAATAATATTATAATATTATTTTTTAAATCCGCCTTATTGAAGATGGATTATAATCCATCTTCAATAAGGCGGAAGTCGACGAAGTGACTGCTAGGCTAAAAGTAAATATTATAATAAAAAATGTAATAAGTGTTCCCGTTTTAAATAATAAGACCGCTTCTAGTTTTCTAGATATCTCGCGAACTTTGGTCGTCCTAAATGTTGCTTTCTAAATTGACCCACTAAAACTTATTCCTGTTAATAAATAGTTCGAAAGCTTTGGCGGAAAAAAATTTTCTAGAGTAAAGAAGTGACTCGATGATCATTGCCTTTTATTGTAACTATCTAAATAAACTTTAGTCTATGTCTATAATATCTAGGCGTTAATATGTCTTCGTCACTATTTTGTTATCTGCACATGTATTAAAACTTATTTTTTTCTTCCTCTTTTTTTATTTTTTTAAATGTAAGGAGCATTGACACAAATCTGTTAATTTATTAGTGTAGGGTAATTACGTATGTTTTAATAAAAAAAAAACTGAGTTATTTTGATAACGAAAACCTATAAATTCGATAATATAGTTTCACAACAAAAACAGAGATAACATGTTTGTCTATGTGTGGCGCAATAAAAAACATTACATTGAAGTTAAATATTGACTGCCTTGAATATTGTCTCTTTTAGTAATAAAACATTCGATAACATAAAATAAACCTAAAAATACGCAGCTCTTTCCGTTTAGATTGGATTCCCAACTTTATTTCCTAAATTTTTCTTCACTCCTTTTTATGTGGTCCCCCAAGTTTATTTCTAAGCATCATCATCTGCTTTGGGTCTTCCTGGACTCCAGGGGTCTACGTAAATCTTTTTGGGAATAGTAAATAAAAAACTGTTTACAAACAATACATATATTTTGGTCTACATAAAACACCATAGAGAATGCATATGTCATTTGAAAAGTCTAATAACTAACACATAATCATTTTAATACATCGACCCTGAATAATAAAATCTTTTATTTGAAAACAGTATAAAAATGCCTACACGTAATACTTATAACCTTCATTTTCCACTGGCTGAATAAAATACTAAAATTGTTGTTGCAGCTTTTTACTCTATTGACAAGATGTTTTTTTTTCTTTTTTGTAGTTTTGACAGTTCACGTCCACAGTTCGAATTTTAGTGAAATTTTTAAAGTTATGCTGTTTGTGTTGTAATAAAAATATCTGACATGCAGTAAAAGCTGGAGATCAAGCTATAAATATTAAAAAAAAACCCTGTAAAACTAACAAGCATCAAGCAATACTAAATTGGACCACACCTAAATTTAACACCAAGTTCCTAAATATTTAATATTCTTAATACTTGCAGGATCAGTCAGTGCTTTTATCTAGTTACCAATTCACATTTTTTAGTATGGTATACTTTGCATATTAAAAAAAAACTTTAAAATATGAATAAAAATAATGAATAATAAAAAAGCAAATTTATCACAATTTTCTACATTTCCATTAAAATAACAGAATCATGCAAAATTATTTTTTATAATTTCTGTGTGTCTTCTACATCTGAGTGACAGTTATATAGAAAAAAATCAATGATAAATTGTCATGTGAAAAAAAAATTAACTAACTTAAAATTTTTCACAGCAACCAAATTATAAAATCTGATTGTTAAAAATTAATTAACATCAGCTAAAATTCATTTCAATAATTTCACACTTCATTAAAATAGCTTAGTTATTTTTTTAATTAAGCTTATAAAAGTAAAATACTAAACATTCACCAAGTCTATAGTTTTAGAGGACAAAATTTAGTTTAATGACTTTTAAGAATTAATTAACTAAATATATGGACTGATTTCTATAAATGGATAAGTCATGACATCTTTTGCTTCATTCAGACTTAAACATGTTGAAGTTCCTGACAGTTCAATCTCTTACCAACTACAACCGTCAGTAACAAGATGGCGGAAATCAAATACGCACATAATACCACAGATTGCAGCCTGTCCATGTACAGAAGTCAGTGTTAAACAAAATACAAAACTAATTAAACTTAACGTAATTCAGGTTTATAAATCACAATTAAGCTAAACATGAAACTGCCGACACTTGTTTTGACACATATTGCTGTCTTTGTTATGTCAATGAATATGAAAGAGATGACAATATATAGTAAACAAGTGTCACTGCATAAGAAAACTACTTTAAAATTGATATTTATGTTTCTTCAACATTAGGATTTTCAGAGAAAAGTTGGTGATCATTATATGTACGTAGATATTTCTTTGTGAATAAATAGAGAGTCAAACCCCATTTCATCATCGCAAATGACCATATCAAGCGTATTACAATACTTGTCTGAACCGGAATTATACCTGTAACATAAATAATATTCATTTTAATAAGGACATTGACTTGGTATTATTAAAGATAACTGCAATTCATTGCAATTTTCTTTATCACTCAGCTAAAGCAAACAAACTTAATTAGTAAATTATGTAGTAAATTAATTTACATTGTACAGTAGAAACCTTGAAAAAACATAAACAGTTCCTTTTATAGATATTTTAAGAAACTTACCAGCTTTATAATAGAATTCCAAAAATGTATAAAACAATGTAAGAGCCAATCCCGACACAAAGCCGACAATTCCAAAATCTCCAAGATATTGCAAAGCTTTCCTTGAGAAGTTGACATGCAAGGATTCCTTCAAATAATGACAGTGTAGCACAAGGGTTAAGCTTGCATGAATACCTAAAATAACAATTTATAATTACAATATCAGTTTTAATCTTAATTTTTTTGATGAATAAGATATTACATTATTTTAAGACATCAAAATTATGTTTAGCATCTACTTGTATATTATATTTCTTAAGCAATAACTCGGCAACTTATGTCTGTCCCAGTATCTGACGTACTTATTATATTAGATATAGCAATATACATTTATTGTCGGGTATATCTATTTCATACGATTAGTAAAACACCGTCAGCACTAATCGTAAATGCACAACTAGACATATATTTATAATTATTAAACTTCTATTACTAAGAAAAACTTTATAGTTCACTTACCAGACAACAATGCCCACATTCCAGCCTCTATGTTTGCGTAAACTAGGCAGAAACATATAAAGGCAGCAATACCTAAGATTGCACCTATAGTGCTAATGGCTATGTAAATCTTTGTACGTAACATCTTGATATGGGAATAGCTAAGATATAAATGGTCTTCACATTCGAATTGAATTATAAATATTTATATTTGCAGAAAAATAAACAAATAACAATCATTTACGCCACCAAGTATGTTCAATAATTGACATGACATACCAAAGAGTATGTGACAGACAATTGACAAGACAGTGACTGACAGTTAATAGTTAAGAAAGAAAATCGGTAATCAGTATCCAATTTTCATTTAACCCAGTTAATTAAATATTTCAATTTTCTTAAATAGAGCTCCATAAAAATACTATTTTTGGATTAATTGCATGAAAACCGTCTCTTTAAGTTTATTAGTACTTTATAAAATATCGCAGAATGTCAAAAATATTTTATGTTGGCTTCGTTTCGTGACATTGATGTTGACGTTTAACGTACGGTTTAGTTTTCAAACAATCGTAATAATAACATTTTTTATTAATTGGATAACTTTTAATTATATATCAATATGTCTAGAGTATATAATATGGACTTCCTTAGCGAAGATATGATTATGATAAATGTATTAACGTATCCTAATTCAAACAGAATTTCTGGAAGAAAGTTGCTTTGTAACTCAATTCTGTACCTGGATCATGTAAAAATGCTTATAAATGGTGTAAGGTGAGAGTGATGAGAGTAATCAAAGTGGCTTGGAATTACTAGCAGAAGGTACCAACGACTCTCAGTTGAACTGTGATAAAATGGCTTCAGATGAAGAAGACAACAAAACTTTAAGATACTTTGTAATGGTATTCAAGAGATCATGATGATAGTGAGGAATTAGTTGGTATATATTCCTATTACAATGCAAAATATTAATGGTTCATAACATAAATAATTGTGTACTTTATTTTGCTATAAACTGCAAATATTTTAATTTTTACATTTTCAGATGAGTAACCTGACTTAAAACTATTTAAAGTAATATCTGAAAGTATAAATAAAACTGAAAGTGTGAGATTTTACTACATTTTTTGTACCAGAATTACAATGTTATTTTACTATTTGAATAATACTTTTATTAATTTCACAGATAAGAATTTGATTACCAAATCAGGTATTTTGAAGAGTTTAGAATAAGATCGGAATTATCATCAGAAAAGAAGTGATGTCAACAGAAAAGTGAAAAGCTAAGACTAAGGGCAATAGAACCTATACTAAAAAGAGAGAAATACAAGTGAAGGAAATTGAAATAAAGTTAATTAATTAACATATTGGGAAGAGGAGAAATAAAAATGCTTCAAGGAGATATCGGCTTCATTAAAAGAGTAAGTTTGTAAAAAATTTAATTTGTTTGTGCAACATAAATATCTCTTAAAATTAAAAGTTTACTTCAAACTTTTCCTTTACTTTTTGCTGTTGGGATTATTAGTTTTTATCAATTACATTTTTATTTGAATACTGATTATATCTATTGTTCCAGATTATTAAAAAGAAAGAGAAGTTCATTTAAAAATGTATAAGTGCAGGTGCTACATTTTATGTTAATTACTGTAATGAGAAAAGTTGAAATATGAAAGAGGAATTCAAGATAACATTTTTAAAGTAATTTTAAGTTAACTTATAAAACTTTATCAATAGAACAATTCAAGATATGAGTATTTAGTATTAACAATAATAAATCTATTAATTTTACAACTGGCAACTTTTAGTACCTTAACATTAAAAAAATAAATATAATTATTTTTACATAAGATTCTGACAGCTATATAAAACATTTTCAATTAAAACAATATAAAAAATAATTTTACATAATTGTAATGGCCCATGTCTAAGCTTTAAGAAATCTAAGAAGTCTCGGCTTTATTTTACTTAATGTAGCAGCATCTAACTCCGACTTCCTGTGGATCCTAAGATGACTCCTCATGTTTCCTCTTTGAGCATAGCCCCGGTCGCAAATGGGACATTTGTATGGAGTTTCACCTGTATGAAGCCTCATGTGCTCTCTCAAATACACAATGTGGTAGAAACCGGCACCGCAAACTGAACATTTCTCCGGTCGCTCTCCTGAAAACCACAAATCATGTTTGACAAATAACACTTTATATGGAAGGAACATGTTTGGCAACTGAGTGGCAGGATAATTGAAGTAACAAGCTTCTTTCCAACAAGTTGGTTTCAGATTTGTTTCATCAACCATATAAAATAACTTTTAGTTGGATCTGCAATGGTCCTGACAATTCATGGGACAATTTAACGCAACAACACAAAGTTATAGGCAACAAACATTACTAATAATTACCTGTATGAACAGATCGCTTATGTATTGTGAGTGACTGCATACATTTAAAAGTTCTTTCGCACATATCACAAGGGAATATTTGAGGTGTTCTTCTTATTTTCTCATGAACGTATCTAGTATGACTTCGCAATTCACCGACGAATGCAAAAGTTTTATCACAAGATTTGCACTGATACTTCTTATCATCTAGATGTTTTCTCTTCATGTGACGATTTAAGTAATATTCAGAGGAACAAATGCGTGAGCATACGGGACATTTAGCAGGACTGTTTAAATGGACCCTTTTCATGTGTGCAACTAGTTTGTCTTGTTCAAACACTTCACCACACAAATCACATAGTTTAGGAGGTGGTGGCTTCTTTTCTTTTGGTGTGTTTTTCTTTTTCACTTGCTGCAATTTCTTTTTAGTTTTTTGGATAGCATTTTGGGCAGCTTTTTTATTTAAACTGAAATTGAAAATTTTGTTGATAACCAGACTATAAACACCTAGGATTTAATATAAAGAATAGCTTGTACACCAAAGTTAGCATTATTTTTAAAGCATTTCTTCACTTTTATTACTACTAAACATTTAAAAAAATCTAATACTTGAATGTAATAAGCAACAATAATTAACATACAGCAATAATATTACCACCATTGTTCTCCACTCCATGAAAATTCACCCTCTAAAATAGAAGATGCTACAGTATTTCTTTTGTTTCCATTATTTTGTTTCTTAGGCAACACTTTTTTAACTATATTTTTTTCTTTACTTTGAGTACTTGTGGCCTTAACTTTTGTTGTTATTGATGTTTTTTCGTCCAAATCCTTAAGATCTGGAGACTCCTCCTTAATGTTAATTGCTGGATCAAAATCCGAGTCATAATTACTACTTGAATCATTCTCTATTTTTATTTGAGGTAATTTATTTTCTAACGCCTTGCAACTCTCCTTAAATACGTTTATGAAATTGCAAAGTATATCTAAGGTTTCGTTGCAATTGATACAAATTTGACGAGGATATCCTTCTACATCTTCAACCTGAAAATTTATGAATAACCGAATGTTTTATCGAATAAAAAGTAACTGTTGTCAACGACGACGATAAATAAAAAAACTTACGGTGACATGCAAACAAGTTGAAATCTTTGATTGAATGTTATGATGTTTGAAATTCTCAATTTTTTCAAAAATAGGATACGAGGCTCCATCTTGAAGACAAATTCTACACCTTTTATCAATACAGCTCATTTCAGTTTTTATAAAGGTATAAAGAATACAGACAGATATAAAGGTATGTTTCTAATAAAATTTTAGTTTTAAAAAAACAAATAGACCCATTACTATACCAGATTGACACTAAACTGACGTATGTATGACATGACGTAGTACTTCCATTCCGTTTCATCTGAAATCTAAATAACTTCCTAAAATTAGTTTCGTTAAAATTTTTCAATAAATACTGAAATAGTTCTCTCTTTAATTTTATGTATTTTATTTAAATTACAAAAACATAAGGATTGATTTTACTGATTCAATTGGGCGTAGTATTGAATTTTAATAGTGTATAGGTAGTCTTTTTTAAATAAATTTGTTATTAAAAAATGATATTTTTTTATATCATAAGTGGCAAACGAGCAGCGGGAACACCAAGGTGTTCAACGACGCCCATGGACATCAGCAATACCAGAGGAACTGAGATGCGTTGCCGGCCTTAAAATTCATATTTAAAACATTCCATGACTTTTTAATATTTTTTTTTAACAATCGAACAAATTGAGACATGTTAAATTATTAACACAACAATAATAAGTTTATTATGCAGTTTTAGTACATCAACAATCATTTTTTGTATAGCTTGCGGCTTACGCACAAAAAGTATATAAAATATGTTTACGCACTTACTAGAGGTCGGGGCGCTGACCAGAGCGGATTTTTATCCGAAAATAACATTTGGCTTTATACAACTGAAAGAATTTTACTTTGCATCTCTTTTCTTATTAAGAGCGAGGGAAAAAAAGACGCTAAAAATAAAATTTAATCTTGTTCCAATCGGGTAACATTTAAATTTATATGCGATAAAAATGTACTGTGATCTTCGCCCTAGTGTGTGTGAACAGACCCTGCAATTGGGTTTTGTGCAGCAAATGTATATGGCAACCTCTACATCAATAACTATATTGGTTTTTGTATTAATCCATTCCTTGGAGCAATGGTGAAACTTTTTAGATGAATATTTAACAATATAAAACATTTACTTAATAATAATTGTTCTGCCTAAGGTTTAAGAAATTTAAGAAGTCTTGGCTTTATTTTACTGAATGTAGCCACATCTAACTCGGACTTCCGGTGATTACGGAGATGACTTGTCATATTGCCTCGCTGTGCATAGCCCCTGTTACAAATAGGACATTTGTATGGAGTTTCTCCAGTGTGGAGTCTCATGTGCTCTCTTAAATAAATGATGTGAAAGAACCGTGCGCCGCAAACTGTACATATATCTGGTCGCTCCCCTGAAAACCACAGATTTTATAGAAGATCACTTTAAAGTCGTCAAAAACAATTGTTGTATGCTGCCTTTGGCATATTTATCTAAGGTTTTTGGTGCCATCTGGCCTGAGCGTGTAAACTTCTCAACTTCTCGTATGTTACCTTATTTAGCTTAAATTTCAAGTAATTTTGTGGTCTCGCATAAAAAAATGCCCTAAAAAATACTTATTTTAATTTAAATATGTTTGTTATGAAATTAAATAAACAACTACCTGTATGAACAGATCGCTTATGTATTGTAAGTGATTGCACACATTTATAAGTTTTGTCACATGTATCACAAGCAAATATTTTATTTCCTTTTCTTTTTTTCTCATGAACATATTCAACATGCTTATGTATATCCTTAATGAATGCAAACTTCGAGTCACAAAATTTGCACTCATAGATTTTATTATTTCTATGTCTCCTCTCCATGTGACAATTTAAGTAATATTCAGAGGAACAAGTCATTGGGCATACAGGACATTTAATGGGATTGTTGAAATGGACTCTTTTCTTATGTGCTATTAGTTTATGGTCCTCATTAAAAACATCTCCACAGAGATCACAGAGTCTAGGAGGTTGTGGTTTTCTTTCAGTTGGTATTTCTTTCTTTTTTATTGTCTTAATTTTTGTTGTACTTTGTATAGCATCTTTTTGTTCCATTAGATTGTTTGTATCATCAGCTTTATTTTTATTTAAACTGAAATGGAAGATATTTAAATATACAAAAGTTACAATATGCACACTCCAAATTTTTAGATGAGGTTGACTTGTATACCTTAGTAATATTTTTAATGTTGTTGAATGTTTAGATGGATGGATGTTTGTAGGTATCTCCAGTACGGCTGAATGGATCTTGATAAAATTTGGCATACTTATAGAACATAGTCAGAAAGAACATATAGGCTACTAATTATATTTTTTAATTCTGCGCCGACGAAGTTGCAGTTGACAGCTTGTATTTAATAAATAAGCAGAGTTTTAATATTACCACCATTCTTCTCCACTCCATGTAAATACACCCTCTAGAATAGAAGATGCTACAGCATTTCTTATGTCTCTGTTGATGTTTGTTCGCAGTTGTTCCTTCTGTAACACCTTTTTAACTACCTGTTTTTCTTCACTTTCAACTCTTGCCTTAGATCGTGGTTTTATGGACGATGTTATATTAGCATCTAAATCCTGAACGGTAGAATCCTTTTTCTTGTTAATTGTTGGATCAAAATCTGAGTCATTATTACTACTTGCATCGATGTCTATTTTCATAAGAAGTAACTTACTTTCTAAAGTCTGACAACTCTCCTTAAATACGTTTATGAAATTGAAAAGTATGTCTAAGGTTTCGTTACAATTATTACAAATTTGACGCGGATATCCTTTTACATCTTCAACCTGAAAATATATAATTAACCGAATGTTATATCGAATAAAACGTAACTTTTGACAACTACTCTGATAAATAAAAAAACTTACGGTAACATACAAACAAGTTGATATCTTTGATTGTATGTTATGTTCAAAATTCTCAATTTTCTCGAAAATTGGATAAAAGGCTCCATGTTGTCCCAAACAAATTCTACATATTTTGTCGTAAAGGCTCATTTTTGCTTTTAGGTTTACTGAAATTAAATATTAATAAAACATTTTCATGACATTTTACACTTCCAGTTTTCCCCACAATTGACATTGACACAAATGACATTTTTTGACACCAATTTGACATACCGCTGTCACTGAGTCACTGACCATTCAATATAGAAGAAAGCTACTGAAAAAGACTTGTAAATTTTACACATTTGGTAGATTTATGGCAGTTAAATTTGTGACAGATATTAATTTTATTTAGGGCACCTTAACAAAGAGTATATAAAACAGTATATTAAATAAGAGAGTAAAAGAGTATAATTTGCACCTTAAATTTGTATTTCAAAAATAAAATATAGCAACTTATTTATCATGTTATATAGCATCACTGACACTGAAAACCATAGAGATTTGACTTTTTTTTTATACTTTGTAACTAAAAGGAAATTTCTTATTCATTTTACTTTCCTTACGAACATTTACACGATTTTTTTTACAACTCTAAACATATAGAAAATATATATATATATGTAGTTCACAAAGATATAGAATTATTTAGTGATCAGATTAAATATTTAAAAATCTTTTACATTTGGAAGCCCAAAGTAGACTTTCAGTACTTGAGCCTGATCACAAGACTAAACATAGACAACAGTTTTATCGACATTCGTTTTCTGTCATCAGGTGATAGGGATTGGGAGTAAAATTCCTGAAAAAGGATTTACGCTAAGATTTAACTAAATCGCCATGTCTGGAAAAGATAGATTAGCTATTTTCCCGTCCCGGGGGTAAGTTTTTATATGCTTTCAATGTTAAAAATGTCAATTCATCAGTTAGAAAAATGACCCGTACATGTATTTTATGATTACAGTGCTCAAATGTTAATGAAGAGTCGATTGGCTGGAGCACAGAAAGGCCATGGTCTCCTGAAGAAGAAGGCTGATGCTCTACAAGTTAGGTTCCGTTTGATTTTGAGCAAAATTATTGAGGTAAGTGAAGTAAAAACTTAGTCAATGTAAACCAAACGTATCTATTTCTAATGTCTTGTAGCTACGTAGTTTATTTGTAAGTTTTATACAACAGTGATATTAAACTTTGAATATAAAATTGCAACAACATCCAAGCAAATAGTAATTTATAAATTTTATTTTCAGACTAAAACTCTTATGGGTGAGGTGATGAAAGAAGCTGCATTTTCTCTTGCTGAAGCCAAGTTTACAACGGGAGATTTCAACCAGGTTGTCCTGCAAAATGTCACTAAAGCTCAGATCAAAATTCGCTCCAAGAAGGATAATGTTGCTGGTAAATATTTGTGCACATAAACATACATTTAAAAACATTACTTAAGCTCAAGCTATAATTTGTTTAATTATGTGTGAAACATGGAAAAAACGTAAATAAAAAAAAATTATATGCCATGGTTATACATACTAAATAGAGGCCTACGTCCAGCAGTGGACAAATTTAGGCTAATTATGATGATTCATATCAAATGGAAACAATATTGTTGAATATATTACATTTAGTTTTTATTTTCATCATTTAATGTATTGTATTGTCTTGCATCTTAAACAAAATAGCAATTGTAAATGTTATCTGACCATTTAAAGAACAACAAAACAACTTTCTTTACACTTTAGGTGTGACTCTTCCGATTTTCGAGTCCTACCAAGATGGCTCAGATACATATGAGTTGGCTGGTCTTGCCCGAGGTGGTCAACAGCTGTCCAAGCTGAAGAAGAACTTCCAGAGCGCTGTCAAGTTGCTTGTCGAACTTGCCTCTTTGCAAACTTCATTTGTTACCCTTGACGAGGTTATCAAGATTACTAATAGACGTGTCAATGCTATTGAGCATGGTAAGTAAATATCTACTTTTAATCAATGGAGAAGGTAACACATGGAAAGTGGATATTTCTTCCCTCATATATATATATATATATATATATACCCTCCCCTGCTAAATCCATATCCATTTCCTATCATTTTCTTATAAGAAAAGGGTGAGAAAGAAATGTAGATTAAAGTTAGCCCTCTGGAATGCATACTCATCAAATGAAATTCATGGGTGTTAGACAAAATGCATTTGCTCTGAAGCAATTTCATAACTAACTTCAAAAATGTACAAAACTGACAATAAGTTTTGATTAGTCACATGATTGTCGCCCGTCAGTTCCATACGTTTTTGAAGTTAGAAACAAATGCACTTTGTCAAACCCTGCAGAATTGCTTACATTTGACGCACGTCTTCTGTGTGTAAAATGGTATATTTTAAATTGTTTGATGATATGCCAATCTTATTGTGTTTTTTAATATTTTATTTCATATCATAGATTTAAGACTATTCATTAGATTCTTTGTTAGTTTATTGTTAAAAATTGCATTAGTTATATTTAATAATTACTGAATAAATTGTGTAGTGATCATCCCACGCCTGGAGCGTACACTGGCGTACATCATCTCTGAGCTGGACGAGCTGGAGCGTGAGGAGTTTTACCGGCTGAAGAAGATTCAGGACAAGAAGAAGATTATCAAAGACAAAGCGGAAGCTGTAAGTTTTGAACTCATATAAATGCATTAATGCTTTTCACTTTCAATAATGGCATGGATTTTTTATCTGATATTTCTTGTATAGAGAAATTAATGTATAGAGAATATTCGTGAATGTGGGCGAAAAAACATGGAAATGAAATTGAAATTTCGCTATTTCAGCGAATTTGGCAGCCGCTTACCACCAAATATAAAAAAAGGTTTTTAACTGGAAGTAATTTTAAGGAATTAGAATTATTGCTTTATATGATATATACTTTAATGATCATATTAATTAATAAAAAAAACTAGACTTGGGGTGTTCTTAAGGGACTTTCTAACAGTATTTTCAGTTGTTAATGTTTTGTTGGCTAGACTGACTTGTGCATTCCTGTTTCCAGGCAAAGCAAGCTATGTTGGGCGCAGGAAGGGATGTGGGCGACATCGCTAACTTGCTTGATGAAGGTGATGAAGATTTGCTCTTCTAAATAATAGCCGAACATAGAACTGTAAACCGTAGTAGTGAAGTCAAATGAAAGCATAGTCAAAGTTGGAGCCAATGTTTGTGCAAATGTTTGAAGCAATTAATACTTTGGCTACTTGTATCGCAAACATTACCAACCAACTCCCTTTGACTGAAGCAATTTTTATGATATTACAGTGTTCAATTCTCTGTACATAATTTGTTGACATAGTTACTCATGTTGAAATACATCTTATTGCGTAGTGGTTACGGTTCGAAATGCGTTAACCGATTGGCTTTCCTTTATCACTGCAAGCATTCCAACAAATCTTGTTAGTTTTTAATAAGCCCAAGTGTTATTTAAATATATTAATGTTCTACTTTCTATAAAGTGTTGACGCTTGTATTACTTGCTGATCCCGTGGGTCAAAAGATCGCAGCTTCCAATAAGTTCTGAGGAACAAATACCAATAAAAAGTACACCCAATATAGTATTTATGTTTTATTTTTGAATTGTTGTTTGATTGTAGATCAATATATTTTAAGTAAGCATCATGTAAATACAAGTTTGTGAAACGAAATATATTATTATTATTATTGAAGCGTTGTTTCTTTTCTTCCCCGCGCTGGCCCTCACTGCGTATGGGGTGCGTTCTCCGGGTGGCGGATGTGGGAGTGGTAGGTAGTACAGCATAGCTACGCTACCCGGCTAAGTCCGATGGGCTCGCTGACCAAAGTAGGGTGTGGTCCTTCAGCAATATGGGGGTTATGCGGCGATCTGACAACTCGCCCACGGAAAAAAAAAATTTTTACGAAACCGAAAAAAGAGAAGAGCGATCTCTTGTGTCGGAGGCCAAGACCCACTTTGGGTCGATGCGCCAGCGGAGTGAGTGTGAATGTGAGTTTCTTTTAAAGACTCCTTGTATTTAATCTGTTTTTTCTTACAGTTATTGAATACGTTACTTGTTACGTTACTAGCGTTAGTCAATGGATGTTAAGTGAACATTACATACTGGCATCCCCGCACGTAAAAAAAATTGTCCAAGTGCGAGTCGGACTCTCGTCCTGAGGGTTCCGTACAAACCTGTAGGAATATAAGTAAAAGTTCACCGATCACCACAATATACTAAAATATAAATATACTAGTTACTAATCAGTAATACTAATTAATAATTACTAATACTTAGTACTTATATTCTAATTAGTATTACTAATATCATTATCTACTAACTGTACGTTCCCAGTGAAGGGCTTGGAGCCTACCCTAAGTTAGGGGTGAATTTATTCCACTTTGGTTTTGTTTATAAACTCATTTTGCACCTTCATAGCAATACAAATGGCACGTTATGAACAGAACGCTTTAGAACTGTTAACAAGAAATTTATAAGCAATATTTCATTAACGAATGAAACTATTATTAAAGGTACATTGTTAGAGGTAGGTGCGCGTTGAAACATAACTTCTCGGAACGTATAAATCCGTCAAGGGAACATTTACTGCCGAGTTATAGCTCGTGCAATCAACAAGTACAAGTAATTATTAGGTGAATTATTATCAATGTAAATCAAATAAGCCGTATTGAAATACTGAATATCGCAAATGGTGTTCGATCACGTAATACGTTTTTTGTCTAAATGGTTACGTGAATATAGTTTCAACGTATTTAGTTATTGTGCTTTTCATTAACCCATTAGTGCATAAAGTTTATTAACGCCATTTTCATTATGAACACTTATGTATTATATTTTCATTTCGAGTGTATTTGACCATTAAATTGTATAAAATATTTAATCAATATAAAAGTTTAGATTTTATAGCCCGTACGATAAATCGGACGTTATGCTTCCCGGAACGTCATACCAACAGTATTACCACTTCAAATATATATTACACTACTGTTTAAAAAAATAAACGGTTAGTAAAATATATATAACTCCTAAAATAACAATTTTATTGGCGTCCGAGTTATCTAACGTTATGCACTAATGGGTTAAGATATTGTGGTTTTTTATGGCTTAGTACGTGTGGGATTAAACAATCTAGCAATAAATAATGTCACCCGGGGATAGTATAGCTTCACAACGGTGAAACATCTTTTCAAATCGGTTCAGTAGTTTCGGAG